CTCCAAAATTTGGCATAAATAGGTTTTTGCGGGAAAAGATCCAATCAGTCAAATTGTTTCATGTTTACCTCTCATACTGTCTCAGTTTCTGGGTGCACAATACATACGATTATCTTTGGTTAGTTCATTCCATGCAGAGACAACTATCGCTTGGTGCTCCATGCATTATTCGGTATCTACGTAAGAGCTAGTCGCACTGATTAGCCTAATTGCAACAGAAGGGAGAGTTGTCGGGCAGCTGCATAATTTAAGAGGCCTCATTCCTTCAACCCAGCAGAGCGAACTTCTAGTCACTTACATTATATTCATATATAATAAAATTTTACATAGTTTGCGAGGTGAGACGACATTTTTTCAAAGAAGGAAGTACGAAGATAATTTTGCGCATGTCTTTTCGTTTCAGCTCAGGTAACAAGGCTTTATGTGCGCTAAAGAACTTAGGATAACTTCTTACCTCATACAGAATAATCATCACGTTTTCGCTAGGTGAAGCATGAATCATGGTCCGCTTAGAGTTGATCAGGCAAGTGTTAGGCGTCCATATTCGTTGGAGCAGACGTGGCTCCATCGTGATATTCCTGAGAAGAACAATAGAATTTTTTTGATCAGACATGGGTCACGCGAGCACTTGATCTAGAATCAACAAACGAAGCGCACTCTATCTTCAGGATTCTTGATAGATGAGAGAAACTGCTCAAAACAATTCTCTCTTGCAGAAATGATTTTAAAAAATGACAGTTGTACCTTTTGCACGCTAACATATGAGAGAAGGATAGCGATTCATCCCGCCACAACTGCGTGAATAGAATGTCAATTTCGAAGTCGGATGTGATTTCGTTCAGTGAGCCCATGTCCTAAAATAGATTGTATGTAGATTAACGCATGTGGCCTAATGACACGACCTAAATGAGATTTGCCAAAAAAAAACTTGCAATGCATTTCTAAACGTTGATCTGAAAGTACACCTGTCAGAAATTCCTAAGGATAGTTGAAAAGCCGCTAACATGCAAAGTAACTAATGTAAGGATTTTCTTTGGCACAATTTAGCAAA